AGGAAATTCTCCTTTTGACCACCTCCCCGAAAAAGGCTGTTTTCAGTAACAGTTCTGCCCCTCTGGCATGGGAATCCTGGGAGTTTTTTGTTTTTTTCCCTTAAGTGTTTCAGTTCTAAATTTATTTTTGACAGTTCTGGGCTTCTCAAGGTGATCATTTAACACCTCATTAACAAGTCAATTGTAGGAATTAATTCAAATGAGCCAAACCTAATTGTAATTACACCTCAATCTGCTCAGGTATTTTTTTCCTTCTCAACTGACACTGCCTGAGTGGGCCTAGTTCCTTTCAAAACTAAGTACTAAAAGCACAGTTTTCTATATAGAAAAGTTACTTGTCATCATTTAAAAATTTATCTAGTAAATGGCTATCTAGTTTATTTTGTTCCATGATTTGGCCATTCTGGTTTAATATTCAACTCTACAAGAACCCACTCATTTTCTACTATCTCTGGATTATGGGTGTATTCATTCATTCATTCAGCAAATTTATGGAAAGGCTACTAAATGTCAGACACTAAGCTGGTTATAGCTTTAGCAAGAACTATAGCTTTATTAACTATAGCTTTAGCAAGAACTAAAATACGTCAACACACAGCTTTGAAAAAGACAAGCACAATTTTAGTTGCTCTGGTCAGTTTCCTTGATTCATAAATAGATCTCACAGCTACATTTCCATTACTGGACCGAGGATTAGTGATGTGTGAAGTAAAAACTAGAATTTTTACGTCTAAGTGAATCTGTCAGAATTTCCTAGTTTTCATTTTTTCCACCCACCAGCCTGTTCTAACATAGTGTGTACGTCCACTAGAGATACAAGCACAACACCCACCCATTGTTAACTTTGGTTCTTAGTCACATGTCTCTCTCGTCTTTGAAAAAAAGGACAGGAACTGGAGAGGAAATGAGGAAAAGGTTGGGAGGAAGGGGAAAGGAGAATTTACAAAGCAGCAGGCACAGATCTCAACTTCCCTTGCACACTGCAGCTTCTCTGAAGGCTCTGCACTCCAGTCCCCAAAGAGCAGCATGTCTTCCCACAAAAAGGGAAACATTTTTAAATAATCAACTACATACTATCTGTGTGCATGTCTAAGCCTTAGTTTCAATCTTGTTTTAAGCAGGATTTATTTCCATATGTTATTAATGGACTCTGCAATCTAATAATAGAAAAGTTTTCATCACAAAAGTAACATCTCCACATGGTAAAACAAAATTCTAGTAGTAGAGAATATTAACTAAACAACAGAAGTTTCCCCCCTTCGACCAGCTACCTCCATTCCCAGTCCCAGAAAGTGGCTCCAGGTTCTGTTTCTGGCTTTTCTGGTGGCACCACAATGCTGAGTAACACACTTATACCTCTGTGCTTGTTCCGCCAACCCTGGATGGAATACAGATGCTACTGCTTTTCACATTGCCTCCAGTAATCACAACCAATTTTTGTGATGATATTATTTTTAAGTCTTCTAATGGCTAATTTCACAACTTCATAAATTTAAGGACTGCTTCTTAACTTCAAAATGTGTTACTTACACATGCATTTACTAGCTGACTCTCCACCAAGTATGACAACAGAAACCGACACGCCCGCCTGTCTGCTCCTCAGCCTCCTTCCCCTTTCTCATCTCCCGCCTTCTTGTGGCTACTTTTACATTGTCAAGGGTTTTGATATTAACATCTGGTTTATAACCACAGCTTAACTTTCCATGCTTTAGCTGTAACTGATCCTAACACTAGAAACTAATGAAAAACAGTATTATAGTATTTCACTACATTTGTGCTAAACAAAAGAAAGTTTTCCAAGTGTCAAGGCTTTTTTCTCTGTTTTTAATCACTAAGAACTCAAGTCAAATTTTAGTTTTCATTTCATTTAAAATGAAAGAGTTGTACAACATTTCATAGCTCATGGTATAATTATTATGAAACGACTATTTCAGATCCACTCATTCTGGTTTGGGGGGAAAAGGGAGAAAAGTCCTGCTGAGCCCAGAGAGAGAGGACAGTAGAGAACACTGTGTACAGAACATACAGGGCCATAAATCCTACAACCTGACACAGGTCACATCTCTGCTTGGAGGAGAACAGATGTTAACCGACGGCCCTAAAATCTAGTGAAGTATTTAATGACAAACAAGTACTTAAAGTTCAACTCCAACCTGCTTTATGTTCATCTGTAAGTCACATTCATAAGAAAGTAAATTTAGCTGCTGTACCCTAATTTGACTCTTAACGTTCTTCCCAGGATGAGTTTCCTTATCTATATCATCGGTGAGACCCAGAACCTGCCGGTCAGAGTGGAGCAAAAGCCTCCCTGGCTCGGAAGGCTGGCTCACAAGCGGCTGCTTCTGGTTACAAGAGGGCCTGGCTAGGACAGTAAAGATCACACCAACTGTATGAAGACTTTCACACTAAGAGAAAATCAGTAGCAGCATCAAATCAAACACTGCATTTATATTAAAAAAACCAAGTTATTAATCATAAACATATTGTCTACTTTTTGATAAGTCACACTGGTCAGTATAGGTGAGGCTTCAATTCAAGGGTAATCCTGCAAGGCTGGTCTCATCCTCTTTAGGTGCATGGCATTCTCAACTTCCCAGAGTCGAAGAACATAATAATGGACTGAATCATAGGTCACTAGCGTCTTATGTCACCTCTCTCCAAGGCACCAAGAGATTATTCACTTAATCATTCGCCAAGTGTTTACTGCATGCCCACTATGTGCAATACACAGTTCTAAACAGAAGGAACGGAGTGAACAAGATGGCCAAAACTCCCTGTTTTCATGTTTACATTCCACTCGGGGAAGAGAGATAATCATTTTGAGAATAAGTAAGTCAAACAATTATTGACTCTAAGGTCTTGAAATAGGCACAATTTAAGATACGAAGGAAGTGCAACACCCTGAGTGCCCTCAAAGAACGCATAAAAAAGTGTTACCTTAATGCACTCAAGTCTAAAATAAAAATAGGTCAGGCCAAATTAATTAAGATCAGGCAGCAGGCTTTATGAGAAATGGTATTTGTGTCTACTTTTGGTTAGATTTTTATTATTCTGTATTTTGGAAGAAAATCAGCGTAGCCAACAGAAGTTTGTCATACTAATTCAAAGTTTTAGGGAGTAATTTTAAAAATAGATTTTTAAAAATGTGGTAGTGGCAAATTTAAAAAATGGCCATAAATTCTCTGACCCACTTGCCCACTTGGGGTGGTGTCTGATGTCCCATGCACGTCCGGCAATCTGGGCTGGCCTTAGGGACCTGCTTGCTAACAACAGGTCAGAAGAGGTCACGGGGACTCAGCAGGTTCTTTGGGACACTTGCTGTCTGAAGCATGTTCTCTAAACACTCCAGTCATCATGTAACAAGGGGCATGTGCCACATGGGGAAGACACGTGAAAGTGTTCTGGTCACAGCCCCCGCCTAGCCTACCCTTCGAGTCACTCCAGCCCAGCTGACATGTGAGTGAAGAAGCCTCCGGATGACCCCAGCCCGGAGCCATCTGAGTCTAACCCAGCAGCTTGGGTTAAACTCAAGCCCCAGATACTGTGGAGCAAAGACAAGCCACCCCTGCTGTGCCCTGACCGAATTCCTGACCTGAAGAATCTGTGAGCAGAAGGTGGCTGTTGTTTCATGCCACTAAAGCTTAGAAAAATGAGTGCTAACCCAAAGCCTATATCTAACTACCATACTTCATTTCTCACCACCTCAGTTTCATGATTTAGTACAGAGAAGTTATCCAGAGGTCATACGTCACACAGAGCTGTAGGGCAAATAAATGATCTAAAGTTAATTTTTCAGTCACCTAAAGCTGTGTGCTGCTCTTTAAGGGTGTAGACAAGGAGGTTGATGCACCCATGCAAAGTAACTCGCTAAGTGCTGTCTATGTAGATGGACAGAGAGCCGCACTGCAGATCAAAGCACACTGTTGTTAGTGACGCCGGACAGGAAGGAGAGAAGGTAACAGTGTGACTGTTGTTCAGAGCCAGTTACCCACAAGGCTCCATGCTGTGTTCAAAACATTAGAGAAATGTCTTCTTTCTCCAGGAATCAATTCATGAAACTGAAAATGATCAATGCTTCTAAAATCTATTTCCAAAAATCTCTCACTAGAGTTAATAAAGATGTATCACAACTGGAAATAATATTGAAGTAAAATTCTGATGGAAGTAAACAGGGTTAAATCAATAAAAACCAGGCGTACTGTTTCTTCCTTATTTCTCAATGCAAACCAATGCGGTGTTGTTTAGCTGAAAAGTGGAGAGCTCAAGGCGGAGAATGTGAGACTTTTTATAAGAGTAAAATTGATTTTAGAAGCGTTAAAAAACAAAATGTGCAATTAATGTATGTCTCTTACTCACAGCAGAAATACTTTTAAAAGTGAAAAACAAAATGAAAAATCCACTGGTGCCCTTTTTTCTGCAGTTAACACTGCCCTCTAGTGATAGAGGATAAATGTCAATTATTGGAAAGCAAACAGCACACTTCATCGCTCATTTTAGTGTGTTTAAGTCAGGACATCTAGTCTACAAATGCCACCAAAGACAGAGCAAACAAATTCAAGATAACCTTTATTAGCCACTGCATGTTAAATTACAAACTCTTTTAAAAGGCATTACACCAAGGACACTAATGCATGGAAATGGCAGCTTTTAAATATAATGGTGTTGAAATATCACTACATAGTGAATCATACTTTCATGTAAAATTGTGCAATTCAAGAAAGACCCTACAGGCTCATTACCTGTGACTTACAAGGGTAGGTAGGATAGTGATGTTAAAGCTCATCATCTGCAGAAAAGAAAATTCAACGCGTCTGTGCTCACGGCCCGCATAACAAACACACTGAAAAACATCTGCAGCAATCAAGAGCTCACATACTTGCCAGCTCGCTGACTAGGGCACCCGACTCCTCATTTTAGGAAAAAAGCTGTAGAAAAAGAGTGTGCTTAGCTGCTAAGTATTTCCCAAGCCCAGGACATGTTCCAAGGAAAGAACGACTGACCTCGGGTGGTGCCATCCTTCCCCATGATGCACTCCATCGAGGTGATGATCTGCTCCACCACGGGAGGCGACAGTGACGTGGCGTACACTGCGCTGTGAGAATGTGTCCGCAGGTAGTCTATCAGCTCCTGGGGGATTCACAGAAGCAAGTCGTTAGAGGCGAAGCCGGCGTGCACTGGCAACGCCACCGCCTACCCACCAGGGAACGCAGGTCACCCCTGCGATAGCACAGGAACAGGGACACCAGTCTCAGAGGCAGCGCGGTCAGAGCACGCTGTCAGCAAATGCGTCAGACACATGGCAACATCCTTAGGACTTTAGGTTTTTTTTTTTTTAAACACACCACAATGTGGAAAGATGAGACACCGGTTTAGGAGAAGACCTCTATATACGGAGAACGTATCATTTAGGGTTATAAATAGATCTACAATGCTGAATTAGACAAGAAAGTGTTTGGATTACTTTTGGATACAATGGTTTACTTGTAAGTACGACATTATAGAAAACATCATCTGCATCTTACCCTGGGCCTGCAACGCCCATTTTTATACACCTAAATCAAACGAACAAAGTTCTCTAAATCAGCTTTAAAGGCACTGAATATCCTCCACATAAAGATTTATAAAGTGATGTGAATGTGTCAGAAATTCACTGGGTGTTTCAGGAGAACACTACAGCCTGCAATAAAGAATAAAGAGACCTTGTCTGTCAGACATGAGGTTTTGAAAACAGTCAGTTGTCTATCCCTCATTGCTGACACCTTCTAATTTCACTAAATCTTTAAATATTCACACACAAAAAAGCTTATGTACCAGAACCAAGACATGAATATAGCCTTTTTTACAGTATTATCACTTCAGAAGTACTCGAAACTGTATAAAACCCACAATAGCGTAAATATACTGTACCAAAATGATCTCCCAGAGTATTGTTTTTCTGTACTTTGGTTTAGCAACAAATCTTACCAGAAAGCAATCAACTCTCCAAAGTGAGCCTAGCCTCATTAACAAAATCAGAGGAAAAAAAATCAAACTCGACTAAAACTACTAATCATGGATATTCCCTAAAAGGCAATCTATTATGAAGAGAAAGTCCATGCTTTAAGATTTCCAGAGTTTTGAAAAGGAATTAAGGACATTTATGAGTACCTACTACGGGCCACATACAAATACTTAATATACATTGTTTTTTTTCCCTAAAACTGAGTTTAAAAAAAATCACTTTTTAAAAGGGTACTACTCAGAGTTTTGTAGTATATTCACAGAGCTGTAGAACTTTCATCACTACCTAATTTTAGAACCTTTTCATCACCTCCAGAAAGAACCCTCAGACTCATTAGCAGTCACTTCCACTTCCCCCATCTCCTCAGACCCCAGCGACCACTGACTTACTTTCTCTGTCTATGATTTGCCTAGTTTGGAATATCATATAGAAGAAATAATATAGTATGTGACCTTTTGTGACTCCCTTCTTTAACTTAGTGCTTTCAAGGTTCCCTTACTGTGGCATGGACTTGTATTACTATTCCTTAAACCCTCACTACAATCTTATAAGCCAGCATATTTATCTAGGTTTTACTGATAAGGAAACTGAAAGGTTAAGTGCTTTGCCCAAGGTCTCACAAAGTTAGGGAAATATTCAAACCCAGGCCTCTATCTCCATGGTTCAAACATTTCTCCCACGCCACATGTCTCAAATGCCTCGGCGTTCATTATACACTTTTTAAACTGAAAAAACAAAGCCATATATACACCAGAGCTAGCAAAATAGCCTTTTTCCTTCCTGTCTCTATGCTTGCCCACGATGCATTTGAGTCCAAGGGCAGGGAAACTGGTCTTTTATTCCCAGCGGCTCCCATGACAGCCCCGCCACCTCGACACTGTGAGCACAACTCAAACCCAGCGAAAGGCTGTGGCAAGCAGGCAGCACCACTGTGCGTTCTTTCATAAAGAGGGCATTCTCTATCTCAAACCGGCATGTAGTTTAGAGCTAAGCTCAAACAAGAAAACAAGAGACAATGAACAGAACCGGCCTTTGGTGCATCAGAGTCACTCACCAGGCAGCTGAAGTGTGGCCCCGCTGGCACTACAAGCCAAAGCCACAAACAGAGTGAGGATCTCCACATCCCAGCTCACGATGCTGTCTGCTGAACGAGAATGACCGCATCTAGTAGCCAGTACCTTTCTCCTTAACTGCTCAGTTCTCTCAGCCCATTTACCTTCTTGCCTCCAATGTATCCTCCAGAAGCACCAAAGCTCTTGGTGAATGTTCCCATCATAACGTCCACATCCTCAGGATCCAGGCCAAAGTAATCTACCACACCTCGACCTGTGGGGCCCAGAGCCCCAATGCTGTGAGCTTCGTCTAGGTACAAGTACGCCTTGTATTTCTTCTTAAGGGCAATCACTTCAGGAAGGCGGACAATAGATCCCTCCATGCTGGCAAAACAGTAAAAAAATACATACACTGAGACTTCTTAACTCCCCTTCATTACTAATTTCTTAAGTTTACTGCTTTGTGAAATAGTCTAACAACTTTGCCTGTGGTTTTGAACCGGCAAAGCTAGACAATGCTGTAGCTGTGCAGGCCTCCAGGGGAAGGGGACTGGGCCTTTAGAAACAAGTACCAGGACACCATTAATCCTTCTTTGCCACAGAGAAACAAAACTCACAGCAGATTCTTCGAAAGCCTGTAACTATAAGCAACATTAGACTTTGTAGCACACTGTGTATGCAACTAAAATTATATTAGAAAGAATTAAAAAATATGAGGAGGTAACAAAGTAAGTGCAAGGGCTGCAAATAGGTAACCAAAATAGTTCTTAAAATTAAAGGTGTATAATTTGTTTTGACATATTAGAAAACATATTCTAATTCTTGACCCTATGCATAAATTCCCTCTACAAACAGTAAGATAAAGGATCCAAGTAGAAGGGGGTCTTGGGGACCATGTAGCATGATGGAAAGAATAAGACAGAAAGACTTCTGTTCTAGTGCTTACTCTGCTTCCATCAGAAAGACAAGACTAATTAGCAGGATTACCTATATATTCCCTCCACAAGGATTAGAATCTTCTTCCAGGGCCTTCTTGTCCGAGGCTGACCATACACAATGGCATCTTTCAATAGCTTCTCTAGGCTTTGCATATCTAAAACACACACAAAAGACTGTCAGCGTAAAGGACCTTCCTCTTTACTAACTTTATTCCAGAAATGCAAGTACACATTTTTTATTTAGGAAGTGTGTCTCAGATAGCAAAAGACATTAACAAAGTCAGAACAGGGCAGAAAGAGATAGAGCAAAATGATGGAGCTACTGCCAACATGAAATAAAATCTCACTTAAAATGTAACACATGTTCAAAACCACAGAAACTCAATAAATGACTGTGGTACAGTTGAGTAAGCGGTTAGCAGGCTTATGAAATGACGAATGTTTCATGTTCAACGCCTTATGATTCAATTAGTTTTCTTTGTATTTGTAAAGTCAATTGTATCTTTAATCCTACTGAGTCATTTAGAAATAATGCATTAAAAGGTACTAGACACCTCCTAAAAAGCAAATATGGGGGGAAAACTTAAAGGACATACCCATTTCCTCTCACCTAAGATATTCTTAATATATGCTTTTTAAATAGCTTTATCTTGGTAGTGGGTTAAAAATACACCAGCCTGATTAGTGCCTTAGATGAATTCCTAAACGCACATGCCTCTCTTTTTTTTACACTTCTTATTTTATTTTATTGATTATGCCATTACATTTGTTCTATTTCCCCTCCTCCGTTCCCGTCCACCCTGCACACCCCTCCCCCACCATTCCCCCCTTTAGTTCATGAACACATGTCTCAAGTTCTTTAGATTCTATATTTCCCATACTATTCTTGCCCCCCCATCTATTTTCTATCTACTGTCTATGCTACTTATTTTCTGTACCTTCTCCCCCTTCTCCTCCTCCCACTCCCCTGTTGCTAACCCTCCTTGTGATCTTCATTTCTATGGTTCACTCCTGATCTAGCTGTCCTTTTGGTTTGCTTTTGTTTTAGGTGTGGTTGTTGATAACTGTGAGTTTGCTGTGCTTTCACTGGTCCTCTTTTTTATCTTCTTTTTCTTAGGTAAGTCCCTTTAACATTTCATATAATGAGGGCTTGGAGATGATGAACTCCTTGAACTTGGTCTTATCTGAGAAGCACTTTATCTGTCCTTCCATTCTAAATGAAAACTTTGCTGGATAGAGCAATCTTGGTTGTAGGTCTTTGGTTTTCATGACTTGGAATACTTCTTTCCAGCCCCTTCTTGCCTGTAAGGTCTCTTTTGAGAAATCAGCTGACAGTCTGATGGGAACTCCTTTGTAGGTGACAGTCCCCTTATCTCTTGCTGCTTCTAGGATTCTCTCCTTCATTTTAATCTTGGCTAATGTAATGATGATGTGCCTTGGTGTGCTCCTTCTTGGGTCCAACTTCTTTGGGACTCTCTGAGCTTCCTGGATTTCCTGGAAGTCTATTTCCTTTGCCAGAATGGGGAAGTTCTGTTTTATTATTTGTTCAAATAAGGTTTCCACTCGTGGCTGTTCCTCTTCCCCTTCTGGTACCCCTATAATTCGGATGTTGGAGTGTTTAAAGATGTCCTGGAGGTTCCTAAGCCTCTCCTCATTTTTTGAATTCTTGATTCTTCATATTTTTCTGTTTGGTCATTTTTTCCTTCCTTCTGGTCTACTCCCTTGATTTGAGTCCCACTTTCCTTTCTATTACTATTGGTTTCCTATGCATTACCATTCATTTCAATTAGTTTAGCCTTAATATGTTCCTCTAATTTGTGACTAAAATCAACCAGTTCTGTGAGCATCCTGATCACCAGTTTTTTGAACTGTGCATCTGAAAGTTTGGCTATTTCTTCATGGCTTAGATTTATTGGCTCTGGGCTCTGAGTTGTTCTTGAGCCATGTTTTTATCTGTTTGTGCCTGTTACTTATGAGGAGCGGAGCCTTAGTTGTTTACCAGGGCAGGGCCACTCAGGTCGCTAGTTTGTGATGCTGTATGTGGGGGCGGGGTCAGAAAGGGAGCAATGGCAGTCCTCTCTGCTCGCCCAGTCCGCCTCACCACTCACCCCCGCCTGTTTATCTGAGCACAAATGTGCGAGCCTGCCGCCCTGCGCTGTGCGGTCTCAATGCATGTCTCTTCACTGGTTTATCTGTGCACAAATGCACAACGGACTGCAGACAGCCAGCTGTGCCTCTTCCCTGTGTGCACCTCTTCCCTGTGTGTGCCTCTTCCCTTTGTCCGCCTGTAGCTAGCCGGTACCTGGGACCATGCCCTCAGCTGCCTGGCACCACCCAGGTCGGGGATCTTTTTTGCCCAACTCGCTCCGCTGCTGGCTTTGCCCCTCTCACCAATTTAGCTGAGTGGTTCGTTGTTTTCGGACTCCGTACTGTCGATTTTCTGTGTGGTTTGGTTGCGTTTATTATTGTTAAAACTTTGTTGTTTTTAGATTTGGTTGTGTGAGGAAGCAAAGCGTTTCCACCTATGCCTCCATCTTGGCGGAAGTCCCCACATGTCTCTGTCTTTATTTTTTTTTTTTTAATTTTATTTAGTTACTTTTCAAGTACATTTTTTTTTCTCTTCCCCCCCCCCCCCGCCATGTCTCTGTCTTAAGCAAGCTTGACAATCAGTTGAGATTGTTCCATGTCTGATCTGATCTGCTATGTGTACACAACCAAGTTCCTATGGCCCTGTTGGTTCTTAAGGTGCTTAACAGGCGCAGGAAACAACGTGGCTGGTACTGGCATTAATGAGGGTCATAATGTTCCTATTAGGGATAAATGCTTGGAAGACCATTGACTACATACTTAAAATTTTACCTTGAAACAGTGTCCTCAAGAACTGCTCCTCCCCCCAAATCTATAAAACATTTGGGGTATACTTAACAAGCATGGGAGGAACACCATCACAAAATCTGATTTTAGTCTTTACTGCTCCGCACTGAAGGAGGGGGGTTACAAAGTCACATGATTTTGCTCTTTTCATAAAAAATTACTTGGGTAGAAAAGAGAAATACGGTAATAAAAACACAAATAAGATGGCCATAGGCTGTGACTGTGTTTATGCCTCCAGTTTTTTGTAAGAACACAATCTGTTTGCTCCCCAACCCAGAGACAAGAGAGGCTGCCAGTCCCACTGCAGAGGGCGGAGTGTGTGGCAACCAGCAAGAGCCGGGTAAAAATGTGCTCATTGTTTTAGTTTCCTGTTTGCATACAGAAAAAAGGGGAAAATAGATATTGATTCAAACTTTTAGATGAAGAGGAAATATCTGTAGTACAATACTTAACCATATTATTAACTTAGCAAATAAATTCAGTGTCTCTTATTACACTCCCCAAGTCACATGAAAAGTAAAGATTTAAATTTAAAAATACCACAAAACTACCAGAAGAAAATGAGAAACTAACCCTATTATCTTTGAATATGGAAGGTATTAACACAAAATCCAAGTCATAAGACAATAAATGTGACACCACAGAGATTTTAATAAGTCTGCACAGCAAGACAGTGAAGACAAAGTTAAAAGTAAAACAAAAAGTACTGTAATATAAAAAATAAAGGGCCCTTATAATTAGTAAAAAGGAGAAACCATTTAAAAATGGCCAATTTACAAAGAAATACAAACACAACATTGTAGAAAAAGTTGTTTGATACCTAATAATCAAAGAAATTAAGATGTTATTCACTTACTAGAGTAGAAAGGGTTTAAAATGATTCATAATGGTCTGTGTTGGCTTGTGAGTCACTATCATGGTATTGAGTAAAAATCGGCACAGTGCTTGGAGGCAATTTGGAAAAGTACAAAAATATTTGTGCCCTTTTAAATAGGCATTCTAGGACTGCCAGGAATTCATCCTAAGGCACTAATCAGACCACTGAGCAAAAAGTGCAGTACAGCCCTGGCTGGTGTAGCTCAGTGGATTGAGCGCAGGCCTGCGAACCACATGATTGCGGTTCGATTCCCAGTCAGGGCACATGCCTGGGTTGCAGGCCAGTTCCCATATGAGAGGCAACCATACACTGATATTTCTCTCCATCTCTCCTTCCCTTACCCTCTAAAGATAAATAAATAAAATCTTTAAAAAATATATTTTTAAAAAAGTGCAGTACAGGTAGCACCATTTCTAGTAGAACAATTTAGAAACAAACTGAGAGATGACTGAGTGAGGGCATCTGCAGATACTGCCTGCGTCCCGGGCACTAGGGGAGGAGCAGAGTCACATGTATTGCCTGACCAAGTTCACAATGTGTTGCAAGAAAGAGCAGGTTCCACTAAAGTAACAAGCCCCATATACATAAACAAAATGCTATTTGCATCATCCTCATTGTAAAGCACTTTAGACAAGATGAAGACAGAAGGAAGAAAGTTATTACCATCTGTAATCTTCTAACCAGGAACACGAACCTAATATTTGGGTGTGTGCTCTTCTTGACTTCTGTCTGTGCATGTACTCATTTTGTTAAAAGATGGTATTAAACATACAGTTTGGTCATCTTTCCTTCTTTCCCCAGATGGGTTTTAACTACAAAAGTTATGCATTCTTATTGCAAATAATTATTGTAGTCATACATAAAGATATTTCCCTCAGGGAGAAAGTCTGGCTTAGTAACACCTTCCTCTGTGCTTTTACAGCATCTGTTCACATCTGCACCCCAGTATCTGTACACTGTATTCTAACTACTGGTTTGTCTCCAGTCGTCATTAATCAGAGATCCTTGAGATCAGGGAGCCGCTTTAATGACCATCCCAATACCCCTAGTGTTATGGCGAGATACACCACAGGCATCTAGAAAGTCAAATAAAAGGAGAATGTCCCATTTTTATCAAAAGGCTTCCTTCTGCCTTTATTTTTATCACCAGGTAGAAGACAATAACTTTTAAAAGACCGCACCAGATGGACATTTTAAATGTTGCTACTTCAGCTTCATTTATATTTTCTACTATTAATGTAACCAATGTTACCCTGGCCGCTGTAGCTCAGCGGGCCTACGAACCAAAAAGATTACAGTTCGATTCCCAGTCAGGGCACATGCCTGGATTGCAGGCCAGTTCCCAGTAGGGGATGCACGAGAGGCAACCATACATTGATATTTCTCTCCCTCTCTCCTTTCCTTCCCTTCTAAAGATAAATAAAATTTTTAAAAAATGTAACCAATGTTACCACTGTCACTAACCCAAAGAATGCACACACACTAAGGTCAACAGTGACCTGCACAGCAAACTCACTGTTGTGTTTGAAGACCCGGATGGTTGCTCCTGAGAGCCTGGCGCCCAGCACCAGCGACGCATGGTTCAGTTCATCACTCAGGATCAAGCAACCCTGCAAAATCACAAGCACAGGAAGTAAGAAGCTGGGACAGAGGGCAGATGGGAGTTTCATTACACAAACTACCAAATGCTAAAGTCATTAATAATATCTTATTAAGGAATGCATATACAAACACAAAGCTATCAATTTCAAAAAGTATGTATGTGTATATACATTTATATTTTGCAACACTGATGTAGTAGATACAAAATTCTAGCCCTTTAATTTCTTCATTCCTAAGATGAACATAAATATTCAGATATATAGCAACAGATTTTTATTTATACCTAAAACCTGCTCTATTGGATAGTCTCATAGAGTTTCAATGCATTTCACGAGTTTTGGTATGATGTACTCTTTCATTCACGGAAAAAGTGTTTGGGGGAGAAGGCAGCAGAGGAGGTGATAATGGCTGTGGAAACGGTGCGTTCCTCCTCTCACTCCTAACCACTCCCAGAGTTCAATGAGGGCCCACATATTAATCCATTCCTAAAATGACATGAAGTGCAGGCTTAGCTTTGCCCTTAAAAATCACTAAACAAGCTTTAAACCCACGTAAACATGAAAGGCGCTCTCTTAGTGCAGTAGCCAGCACGCCGGTACCATGTAACCCACGTAAACACGGGTTCTGCTAAGGCGACGAGAAAAGTCTGAAGCTCTCAGGATTTCTACTTCCTCCCCATTCTTACTCTTCCGTATCTCACGGAGGCTCTAGCCTATACCCTCTGAATGCAGAAACAGGTTTCTGTCAATAATGGCCTCAAAATAAGTGATTAGATGAAAAAAGGTGTAGAAAGTATTAGCATGGTCCCAGGAGAATACAAGGAAGAGATAAGATATACAGACATATATCTGTATATATTTGTTTGCTTAATTAATTAATTAATTACAGGGTATTCCTGGAAGAACACTTAACAAACTTACAATAGCAACTAACTGTCTGAAATTTTTACTCTGTGTTAAGTTTTTATTAGGATAAAAAAAAAAGTTCCCTAATTAAAGATGTATAGGTTAAAAATGAAGAGAGGCAGAGTTGGAGGTGCTAATGTGGTCTGGTAGTTTTTTGATACCCTGGTAACAGTAAACACACCAGACCTAGGTTTTGTTAATACTATTCTACAATAAAAGGAATCAGGCTCAGTGGAGAACTAAGTGGTTGACCCCGAGGTTAGGATAGGTAAAAAGAGCCTGGTGCATCTTGTTACGCTACAGAGAAAGTGCTATAGAAAGAAAAATGGCCAAAAGTGGAACAATGTGAGCACAAAATTATGCAACATATTAACATAAAGGAACGCTGAGTGAAAGGTACACAGGAACTCTCAGTACTCTCCTGCAACGTTCCTGTAAGTCTAAATTTATCTTCGGAAAAAAAAAGTGCTAAAATTGAAAAAAAAAAAAAAGAGAGAAACTTAGAAAAAAGAGAGGTTGAATTCCTCTTCTGCGAGCCTCCAAACTCCTTCCTTAACCGCTCCTGGCACCCACTGTTCTTTAGAAAGGGTCCCCTCCTTTCCCTCCATCTACACGACTTTATTTTCTTCTTTTTCCACCTAATTTTTGTTCTGGCAAAACCTGCAATATGATTGTATTCTTTAGGTTTCTCACCTCCTTTTTAGACAGCCTTATTCACCATTTCTGTATATCAATCTATTTATTTTATTTTATTGATTATGCTCAATCCATTTTTTAAATCTAATATACTATGAGGCTCTATTACATCCTTTGTTCAAAAATAAAAATTAAATGTCAGCAGTTAACATCTAAATGTTTCACATTTCGGGCATTATGTTAAGGATTGTAAATACCATATCACTTTTAATCCTCACATCAAATCTGTGACGTAGATATTATTAATATCCCCACTTTACATACGTGGAAACTGAGGCGCTACAAATGTTGCCCAAGGTCACAAGCATGTTAAGTGACTAAAAAAAAAAGGTTCTACTGCCCTGGCTGGTGTAGCTCAGTGGATTGAGCACGGGCCTGTGAAGCAAGGTTCGCCGGTTCCATTCCCAGTCAGGGCACATTCCTGGGTTGCAGGCCAGGTCCCCAGTAGGGGACACATGAGAGACAACCACACATTGATGTTTCTCTCCCACTTTCTCCTTTCCTTCCCCTCTCTCTAAAAATAAATAAAATATATATATTTTTAAAAGGTTCTACTTTTCTAACACATGCTCTTAGTCAATAACCTGACTGTCTATTTCTTTAAGCTGAATAATCAATCACCTTACAGAGAAATTTAGTATAAAATTTAAAGAAATATTAAAACTGGATTAGTTGCTGCCTCAAATGGCTTAAATTATATTTAATAACATTTCAACTACAATGTTTGATTTGCACAATAGATGTTGAAGGTAGTATCTTCCAGGTATGTATATAAGACATCTAATTCTAGATAGTTATTTTTAGAGTTTGTGAGCACACGAGAGAAGCAGGAGGAGACTACTTAACCCCACTAGTATAAACAAATTCTTAAGAAATTCCGAATAAGAATCTCAAGTCTATGATGCCAAAATGTACCATTATCAATGTGAAGTCAAAGAACCACGCATTCATGCCTCTCAGGACATTTGTCCACTGTAGCTAAGTTGCTAAATTTACCAGCATAGATTTGTTACTATTTCCTTATACCCTTTTAATGTCCACAGGATGTACAGCAAGACACCTTCCTTCATTCCTGCTACTGATAATTTCTGTCTTCTCTCTTTTTACCCTGACCAGTCTGCTAGAGAGCTATCAATTTTATTCACTTTCTCGAGAAGTAGTTTTAGCTTCACTGATTTCTCCTACTGTCTATTTTCTAATTTACTGATTTCTGTATTTCCCTGTATCACACCCTCCCAGTCTCTGTGTTTAATTTGCTCTTTTTCCCCCTAATTTCGTATGTTAGAAGTTTAGATGACTCAAACTCTTATTTTTTCCTAACATAAGCATTTGAAGCTGTGTATTTCCATCTGAGCATTGCTTTAGTTTCATCTCACAAGTTATATTATAGTTCAAGTACTTTCTATTTGCCATTTTCTGATCCACGAATCACTTTAAAGTGTGTTGTTTACTTTTCCATTATTTGAGGATTTTCCTGATATCTCTGTATTACTGATTTCTAATTTAATTCCACTATGGTTAGAGAACATATTTTGAATAATTTCAATTCTCTTAAATTGTTAAGGTTGGTTTAATAGCCCAGAAAATGGTCTATCTTGATCAATGTTTTTCTGCTGTTGGGTGAAGTGTTTCATAAATGTTAAGTTTATTAGTAGTGTTTTTCAAATGTTCTATATACTAATTGATTTTCATTCTATTTCTTCTATCAATTATTGAGCGATGGCTACTGAGATGACTAATTACAATTCTGTACTTGTCCGTTTTTCCCTTCAGACTCATCAGTGTTTGCTCCATGCACTGGCGTTCTGTTATTATGTACTTACACATTTAAAGTTATGTCCTTGCCCTGTACAGTGTGGCTCAGTTGGTGGGACCATCACCCCATAGAACAAAAGGTCACGGGTTTGATTCCAATCAGGGCACACACCCAAGTTGTGGGTTTGATCTATGGTTGGGGCATGTATAAGAAGGCAACTAATCGATGTTTCTCTCACACCTCTCTCTCTCTGTCTAAAAGCAATGAAAACATATCCTCGGGTGAGAATAAAAAATACAATTCTATGTATTTATAAATACATAGAATTATGCCCTGGCTGGTGTGGCTCAATGGATTGATTGCTGGCCTACGAACCAAAGGGTCACTGGTTCAATTCCCGGTCGGGGCACATGCCTGGGTTGCAGGTCAGGTGCCCAGTGGGGGGCGCACAAGAAGCATCTACATAGAGATATTTCTGTCCCTGTCTCTCTCCCTCCCTTCTCTCTAAAAAAATAAAATTTAAAAGATGTCTTTAAATAAATAAATAAATAGAATTGTTATGTCCTCTTAATGGAGTAACACCATTGTGTAATTATCATTACACAATGTTCCTCTTTATCTCTAGAAATATTCCTTGTTTTGGAATCTTTATATTAATATAGTCACACCAACTTTTTAAATATTGTTTGCATGCTGTACCTTTTTCCCTCCTTCTACTTTTAACTTACCTGTGTTTTTAAACTTAATGTAGGTTTCTGGTGGAAACCTATTCAGTTTTGTCTAATCTGACAATTTTTTACTTCTACAATACTTGGAATGTATAAACCACTTACATTTAATGTGGTAGCAATATAGTTGGGTTTAAATTTCCTCTCTTGCTATTTGTTTTCTATCTTCCCACCTGTTCCCTGGGGAAACATATATTTATACAACTGAAAATGACTTCAGAGTTAACCTCATTCAAGTACTTCATATCACAAAAAATAATAAGTAAATAAATTAGGCTTAGAAAGGATGTGACATTGTTCATAGTCCCACAGCTAAATGTGACCACATAACCAAACAAAAATTCAAGTCTTTGGCTCATTAATCCACTGATTTTTTTCAATACCATTCATAGATATCATTGTCAAAATGAGAATAATTAACACTGAGGAACTGTTCAAACAGACAGTGCCAATCTGCTACAATGTGATTTACATCATCTCTTATCGCTTCTCTTTTCTACTGTCCCCCACAAACTCTACCCACAATCGAAATGTGTGCGTATATATGTTACTTTTAACCTACATTATTAGTAACCGATATCACTAACACACACACAGGTTTTATCCACATATCTGTGAGCAACATACATTACAGTGAGAACAAGTATGTATTTTCACATTTTTCTCTTTATAAACAAATTACCTGTTAGGTAACTTTCAAAACTAAACATTCTTTCTTCCATAATTTTAGCCTTTTATGAGCTTTTATTTATTAGAATCTCTTCAAAACTGGATGAAGTGAAGAAGGCAAGAGTCACCTAATGGAAGAGGGAAGGATCATGGCTTCCAGCAAAAGAGCGTCAACTGATGTAGTCTCCACGGGGCACCCCTACCCAAAAATCTGTGACGGAAGTGTCTTCGGGTAACTATGTTAGCCTAAAGTTTAGAATAGTTTCTGGCTAGCTCTGAATGCTTTAAAAACAAAGTAAGATATATATACAAGGGAGTTTTCATTCATGACAGACTTGGTCTTACTTTGCTAACAAGAGCAGGGATGTTCATTGAATTTGTTGCAAATCCCATGCCATATGCCATAGCAGCTTCTACTCCCAAGAAACTCGCCACAAGCTTTTCTAGTTCTTCATGCTTGTCCAGGTTTCCTGTGTGAAGAAGTTAGTGAAGTCAGTATCACCAAATCCCAATTTAAGCATTATTCATTATTATAAGAAATCACAGAGACCTTGTCAAGATGGTGGCATAGGTAAAAGAGGTGCTCACTTCTTGCCACAACCACATCAAAAATACAACTAAATTACAAAACCGCCATCATTCAGATAGTTGAAATCTAGCTGGAAGGAAGTCCCACAACTAAGGCTTTGAAGAAGCCACAGTCAGACTGGTAGGAGGCACAGAGATGAGGAATGGGCTGTTCCCACCCACATGTGGTAAATAAAAATCAGGAGGGATGTCTCTACTGTTGAGATCCCCCCTGAGGAGTGAGGGGTCCTAGGCCCCCCACCAGACCTCCCAGTCCAGGGTTCCAGTGCCATGAAAAGAAGTCCCTATAACTCTGGCTGTAAAAACCAGTGAGGATTGTGGCTGAAAGAGGCGGAGGGCTTCTAGAGTCCCAAGCAGTTCCTCTTAAAGGGTCCACACAAGGACTTACTGGGACTCACTCCAAGTTCCAGCACTGGGGCAGCAGCTAGAAAGACACTGGGGACATACAGGGAGGAACCAATACAGGGAGGAACCAAACTGTCCGGCTTTAGGGTGACAGCTGAGAAGCAGCTTTCTCCCAAACAGAAATGCTGGTAAAGGCCACTGTTCCTTTTCTGAGGCACCCTCCTGTCCCCCACCGCCCCCTGCCCCCACACAGCCAGCAGGTGGGTGCTATTACTGAGTCTCCATCAACCTGGCTAACGTTATTTACTCAGGCCTGGTGATTCTACACTACCTAACTTCTGGGTCCACCCAAGATGTTTCCAGTGGCTTTTCCCTATGAACAGCCTGTGTTTGCTCAGGCTTTGGAATCTCCTCAAATGTCTCAAACAAGCAGCATCTGGCCTTGGCATGCCCCATACCTCTCAATAAGTGGTCCCAGGCCCAGCCCTAGCAGCAGCTGGTCTTGGTTTATAGCTTGGCCTCTTGGGCACCTCCCAGCCCATCAACAGTAGCAGCCATCTGCAGATCGCTTTATAGCTTCTGCTAGGTAGCCACGAAGCTGAACACAGGTAACAGCTGACCTTGGCCTGAACATCCTGGGAGGCCCCAGAGCCAGCACACCCAGTGGACAGCTTCAGACCACACTGAAGCACCACCCTACTACCTCCGTAAGAGACACACTCAGGGGAGGACTCTGGGCACCAGAGCCCTGCTGAAGTAAGTCCTGCTCTGTGGTGTGGGCCCCCTGCATAGCTGGTCCTCTATCGTAGTTGCAGCCAATCAGCCTGGGGTAAATCCCTCCCACTGATGTGTCTGTCAAGCAGCAAGGCTCAACTACAACAAAAAGGTGTACACACCCTGGAGTGCCCAGCTCAGATGAAAGGGACACTGTGCCACTGGACCCTACAGGACACCTACTGCATTAGGCTACTCTACCAAGGCTGGGAAACAGCAGCTCTACCTAATACACAGAAACAAACACAGGACGCCTGCCAAAATGAGGAGACAAAGAAACATGTTCCAAACAAAAGAGAAGAACAAAATTCCAGAAAAAGAACTAAAAAATGAGACAAGCCATCTACTAGATATAGATTTCAAAACACTGCTTATAAGGCTGCTCAATGAACTTAGAAGATGAACTTAGAGAAAAATTGAACAGCACAAAAAAAGATATGAAAACCATTTAAAAAATCAGTAAAAAATAAAAGATATACTAACTGAAATGAACAATAACTTACAGAGAATCAGGGGTGCTGGAAGGAAAAAACAGAGAGCAAGAAATTGAAAATGTATTTGGAAAAATTATAACAGAAAAATTCCCTGACCCGGTGATGGAAACAGACATGTAAGTTAAGTTCAAGAAGCAGAGTCCCAAACAAGATGAACCCAAAGAGACCCTCACCCAGACACATCACAATTAAAATGCCAAAGGTTAAAGACAAAGAGATTCTTGAAAGCAGCAAAAGGAAAGCATTTAGTTGTTTATAGGGGAGTTCCCATAAGATTGTCAGCTGATTTCTTAACAAAAACTCTGCAGGCCAGAAGAGATTGCAAGAAGTATTCCAAGTGATGAAAAGCAAGGACCTACCCAGCAAAGCTATCACTGATCATCAAAGGTCCGATAAAGAGCTTCCCAGACAAGAAAAAGTTAAAGGAATTCATCACCACCAAATTAGTATTATGCAAAATGTCAGAGGGTCTTTTTTAAGAAGAGGAGGGGGAAAAAACAGCAAAATATGATCAATAAAATGGCAATAAATACACTGAAACTAAAAACCAAAATAAATGAATAAGCAGAACAAAAACTCATAGATACAGAGAGCATTTTGATGGTTGCCAAATAGGAGATGGGTTGTGGATGGGTGAAAAAGGTGAAAGATTAAGAAATACAAATTGGTAGTTAAAGAACAGTCATGGAGATGTAAAAAAACAGTCATGGGGACAGTCACAGAGTATATAGTCAATAATATTCTAATAAGCATGTATGGTGTCAGATGGGTATGAGATTTATCAGGGTGATCACTTAGGAAGCTATATAATGTCCTGTCAAGGGAGTATACACCAGAAACTAATATAGCATTACTTGTAATAATAAAAAAAAAGGAAATCATAGTCTACATGTTATAACCTTTTCAGACTAAGGTATAAAAAAGTCAGAATTATGAAGAGTAACGGCTCATAAACAGCACAACAGTTAAACTGAGATTCAGCACCTGTGGCAGAATTTCTGTAAGAGGATTGCCAACAATTTCTCCTGTTGGGAACCGCCCTGCCTGATTTCAGGAGCTGTTAACCCCCCATGGCTAAGGCTGAGTAAGCGACCTTTAGACTATAAGCCACTAAGGAGACAAAGCTTATCTCCGTGGCAGGAGCACCACTTCTGCTCCTTTTTCCATAATTGGCCTCCCGTGCTTGGTCAGATAGCCAATGATGGGTAAGATTCCCCAAGGGGGGAACGACCTAAGACAGGCATGATCACGTGGAGGCCCCAGGGAAGGACTTGGGGGGCTATGGAGAAAGGGGGTGATGGACCCTCGCCCCTCGCCTTTGACGAAGCCTGACTCCCCTGAGTGTGAGAGAAGTCTCTGAAAATTCCTTGGCTATCTGCCTGACTTAAGCCTGAAACAAGGACAGAGGGCGGTGCAGCCCTGTGCTGGGAATGGTGGGCTCCCTGGGTGATCAGGCCTGAGGAAGGATATGTAAAATCCTGTGAAGCCTGCTTTGCTAAGAATGCCCTTAGTTAAATGATAAAGACCCCAGCAGGAAATGAGTTTGTTTCCAAAAGTCTTGTATCAGTTTAGCTAACAGACTCTGACTCAGAATAGGCCCTGGTAGTTCTTTGTATGCTATCTACTGTTTGATCCTTAGTGCCTGACAATTAATGAGCTGTACCTGTATTCCTGTGCAAATTAAACCCAATAAAAGCCTGTCTAGGCAAGGGTCAGCGCTCTCTCCCCTTGACAGAGTGGCCAAGCCGCTCTGAGGCACTCCCCCCCTTGAGGGAGTAGCTGTGTGGTCCCTTTTCCTCCACAGGACTCGTGAAGGCAGTCCATGTGAATCTGTCTCATGTCTCATCCATGACGCCGCGGGCACTGCGGGCCAGCGCACTCGCCATTCTTCCATTCCTGTTCCCACATGGTAGGTCCACGCCTAGGTCTAGGAGGCCCAGAAACATTTGCTTTTATACTTTTGAAGTTAGTTACCACCCATGCTAATCTAATTAGCCTGTTATAAAGAGAGACTATGGACAGAAAGGAACTCTGGAGAATAAAGACTAAGGGGAGGGTGTGGTCAGCCCTAACTGCTTGTCCCACTGCTCAGCTGAGGTGCACACATGAGGGTGAAGCCATCTTGGATACTCCATCCTCAGTCATAATGACCTGCCCTACACCCCATAGAGCTGAGATCAATATCAATCCCTTACCAAACTGCAGGATCACAAGCAAATAAATGTATGTTTCTGTTTTATGTCACTAAGCTTCAGAATGGTTTGTTATACAGCAAAAGACAGTTTAGCAGCTTCTCTCGCTTAGATCTGACTGGCAAATTTGTATTGTGACTTTACACTGGTACTCAATTCCTTAAGGATGGTACTCAATTCCCTAAGGTTGGAATAATACTGATTAGAGAGACTGGCTACATGCAAAGACAAAAGATGCTGTGCCTGTTGAACTTGGATGCTGTGTCCTTAAAGCTTAATGAAGTCATTTAACCTCTGTGGGCCTTAGTTTCTCCTCTGTTAAATACCAGTAGTAATATTTGCTCTATCTACCTCATGACATGTTATGAGGCTCAAAAGAGATAATTATGTTCAAGCACGTTATAAAATATCAAGTGTCATGAAGATGTGTGATTTCTGTATGTTGCCAGTGCCCCCTTAACCACATCACCGGGGACCCTGGTGAGGACAACCCTGCTGTACCTGCCAGTCTTTAGACTCACAAGAAATAACAATGAGTTGTTGTTTTAATCCATTAAGTTTTGGTGTGATTCACAGTAGTAAATATCCAGAAAGGTGCCTTATGACTTTTATGATATCAGTCTCTGGAAGCAAATGGAAGAATCTGGGATCTTCCTTTTAACTAAACAAATGAAGTCTCTTTACATGAATCTGTTATCCCTTACATTTTATAGACTTCTACTACTAATAAAAATAGTTAGCATTTATTGAATATTTACTGTTTTACAAGCACTTTACACAAATTAGCCTATTTAAATCTTAAAACAATCCTATAAGGCAGGAATTATTATTAGCCCATTACTAGTAGAGAAACAGATTAACCTTCATATGCTCATGGGCTCAGACATTAACAGTGCTCCTTAACCACGACCATTTGCAAAAGTCAATAAAGTCAACATTAAAGTTATAAATGGAACAATAATATGGAACTTTTCTAGAGATATTCTGTATGTATTACCTAGTGGAAAAGATAAATATATCTCAAAGTGTGTTGAAAGCACTAAAATCCTCCATCAATTTAAGAAAATAAAGCATTCTTACCTGATATAACTGCATGGCCAGGTATGTACCTGGGTACTCAATATTCTAGTTCTCTATCAATATTATTCCCTCCTGAGTAAAAAAGTTGAGAAACTCAGCTAGCCAAATCTAGCCCACACTCACCAATTTCCTGCCGAGTGCTGCACACACCAACTCCGTACTCCTCTAGGACTTTGGCAGCTGCCTCTTGACATGATCCAGTATTCCGTGCAAATCCAAGATAGTTGTAGGAACCCATGTTTATAACACCTTTAATTGTATTCCCTGTGTACCTGTATTTCAATAGCAAGAAAGTTCATGAAACCCATGAGCAAGTCAAATGCTTACATGTGACAATAAATACCAAAGGAAGCACTATATATAGGAAGTAGAGAGAATATGGTCTAAATAAAAAGTAGATCAAACTCACTACCAGTAAGCAAAATGAAAGTTAAAATACCAGTTTTCATTGATCAGTAATGATAAATATTTAAAAACTGACCATATCTAGTGTTGGCCAAGGCAGTTTCATGCACTGTAGATAAGAATGTCAGTCAGTACTTTTTTTTGAAGGCAGTTTGGTAGTACTTATCCGTTAAAAGATATACAGGCTTTTTGACTCAGCAATGCAATGCCTACGCAATGGACCACAGAGACACTACACAGCTGACTGTTTCTCTTCACCAGGCACATAATCCAGTGACATTCCAAGTTGTGGAAGCTCAAGGTGGCCCTTACCTAAGTGAGGATGACATGGTTCAGAGACCCATGAAGTGAGGACACGAAATAAACTACTGATCTTCTACCTTGAGACTTGGGAGTTTTTAACACAGGACGATGCAGCCTAACCTGCATGTATGCACTACATACATCAATACAGTAGAATACTCAGTAGCCACTACAAATAATGAGCTTGCTGCAGATATACACAAGAAGGATGTTACTGCAATGGTAGTGAGTAAAAAACAAGATGTAATATGATTTCTACACATGATGCCATTTTTTTAATTTAAAAACTACCTATGTGGGACTTCCGCCAAGATGGAGGTTTAAGGTGGATGTGCCTTGCCTCCTCTCACAACCAAGTTTAAGGACAACTAAATATTAGCATCAGAAAACACAACCAGAACACGGAAAACTGAACTTTTCGGAAGTCCGCAAACAACAAATACTTCGGCCCGACCGGTAAGGGGCGAAACCTGCGGCGGGTGAGGAGTTACAAAGGAGAACTCGATCGACCCGGGCGCGGACGCAGAATCCAGACGCGCGAATCCAGTCGCACGGGTTCCAAACCCAGGATTGGACCTAGTGAGCAGCCCACCGGGTGAGCGACTACGGAGGAGTCAGCGGGGAGGCGGTGGTAGCGACTTGACTGTGGGTGCCCGGATACGCGCGGGTGAGGGAGTGAGCGGTGGGACCGGCTGCTGCGGCGGCGCCATTTTCCCCGCTCTGACCACGCCCCCACATACAGCGTCACAACCCAGCGACCTGGGACACCAAGGCGCCGCTTCTCTCACTTAAAGGGCCAGAACAGACCAAAAATGTCGCAGGGGGACCTCAAAGTCCCGGAGATAAATCTAAGTGACAAAGAAATAGCAAATCTCTCAGACGCACAGTTTAAAACACTGGTCGTCAGCTTCCTCACAGATTTGGTGGACTATAGCCACAAATTAGAGAAACATATGAAGGCTAAATTAAGGGAAATGAATGGAATTCCACAGGAAACCCATAGAGATGAAAAAAAAACTGGGACTCAACTCAATGGAGTGAACCAGAAGGAAGAAAAAAATGATCAATCAGAAAGGAATGAAGAAATAAGAATTCAGAAAAATGAGGAGAAGCTTAGGAACTTCCAGGACATCTATAAACGCTCCAATATCCGAATTATAGGGGTACCAGAAGGGGGAAAGACACAACCACCAGTGGAAAAACTATTTGAACAAATAATAAAAGAAAATTTCCCCAATCTGGCAAAGGAAACAGACTTCCAAGAAATCCAAGAAGCCCAGAGAGTACCAAAAAAGTTGGACTCAAGAAGAAACACACCAAGGCATATAATAATTACATTAGCCAAAATTAAAACGAAGGAGAGAATCCTGGAAGCAGCAAGAGCTAAGGGGACAATCACCTACAAAGGAGTCCCCATCAGGCTGTCAGCAGATTTCTCAAAAGAGACCTTACAGGCAAGAAGGGGCTGGAAAGAAATATTCCAAGTCATGAAAACTAAGGACCTACAACCAAGATTGCTCTACCCAGCAAAACTTTCATTTAGAACGGAAGGACAGATAAGGTGCTTCTCAGATAAGACCAAATTCAAGGAGTTCATCATCACCAAGCCCTTATTATATGAAATGTTAAAGGGACTTATCTAAGAAAAAGAAGTTAAAGAAACATGAACAGTGAAAGGACAACAAGCTCACAGTTATTAACAACCACACCTAAAACGAAAGCAAACTAAAAGGACAGCTAGATCAGGAGTGGAAACATAGAAATGAAAATCTCAAGGAGAGTTAGCAACAGGGGAGTGGGAGGAGGAGATGGGGGGAGAAGGTACAGAAAATAAGTAGCATAGACAGTAGATAGAAAATAGATGTGGGGGCAAGAATAGCATGGGAAATATAGAATCTAAAGAACTTGAGACACATGGTCATAAACTAAAGGGGGGTAATGGTGGGGACAGGGGGTAGGGTGGAGGGGAATGAAGGGGGGAATAGAACAACTGTAACAGCATAAACAATTCAAAAAAAATAAATAAATTTATAAAAAAAAAAAAAAAACTACCTATGTATAACCCTAGTACATACATTGCCCCATAGAAAACATATGGAGCGATAATACACAACAAACTGATAACACTGATTACCTCTGGGGAGTGGATTTACAGAGGGATAGTGGAAGCTGTCCTGGGGGACTTTCAATTTATTTGTATTGCTTGTCTTTTAAAACAAATAATGACAATGCAATTGTAAAATACTTGAACTATCTAAATAACAAAATAAAATTTTACGAATATAAAAAGCTTTCTAAACTACACAATTCATTTAAGTAAAAACACTCCATATAACCTTGAATCCTTTGAGAAATCAAAATATCTACAAATAAATTCAGATACTTGATGCTGGGAAGTGGTGTAACAGAAAAGGACAGTTTGTCTTTGTCCTTTGTTTTGTTTTACTAGGTCAAATTTTGGTTTCAACCATAACCCAACAATATAGCAAACTAATAAAAAATGTATTTTAAATGTCTCAGCTTCTGCTGTTTTGACAAAATATGGTTAAATTTACAACAGAGTATTTTCTGAAGTGAAAAAGCTCCTTTTTTGTTGTTAAGAAATAATGTCCTAAACAAGACTCACCTGAACGACCAGTTGTAATCGTGAGACTCTCTCTCCATGATGTCCACACGGGCCCCAGGCACGCTGCAGATGGGCCGATTCCAGTTGTCTCTAATCCTCATGTAGAGGTTCCTTGTGTAGAAGTTTTCAAAATCCTGGTACAATGACACAAAGTCCTGCCAACAAATGGCGAAATACCATGAATTTAACTGAGTCACTTTTTAAAACTTTACAACTTCCCTTTTCACACTGCAAGAGCACTTAAGAATGAGAAGTCAATTTCACTGAATTAACAGATATGGAAAACATTTTTGAAAGGCATAAATTCTGTTTATTTTAAAACAACCCAATCAGGTAAAAGTCATGTAGCTTTGGTGGCTAACGTATAAGAAATGGTTGCAAATAGCTACCTGATTGCATGAATGTAGTGCCAAAGAATTTAACTAAGCAAGTAGGTCTCATAAAACGTGGTCGTACATTTCTGTCATTTAATGGTTTTCCTTCCTGATAAATTCAAAAAGACTGCTCTTCTGCCCGCTACCTCAAGTAAAATACAGATGTGGGGAAATGCCATAAAAAAAACCTGTAATTTCAGCTCTAAATAAGAAAATAATTCCAAAGCTAAGATTCCATTCTTGGCATATTTTCAAGAATCAAAATGAAACACATTCAAAGAAAAATGATAAACAAGAAACACTAAGAAGTAACTTATAAAAACAACCCTATCTCCTATTTCTCTCCTTAGCTGGGAGTTTTTATAAAAATTTTTAATAATATATTTAAAAGTTCTCAAAAATAAATTCCCATGACCACAGACTTTAAAGCCCTTCTTTCCTCCATGAAATTAAGTTATATTAAAATTAAGTCTGTAAAAACATGAAGTCACAGTGGAGCTAAAACGAATGAATTATGTGCTAGCTCCCATGTGGTTTGACCACTGCTCAGAATACACATGGCCTACCCAGGCTGGTGTAGCTCAGTGGATTGAGTGCAGGCCTGCTACCCAGAGGATCGCGGTTTGATTCCCAGTCAGGGCACATGCCTGGGTTGCAGGCCAGTTCCCAGCAGAGGACACACGAGAGGCAACCATACATTGATATTTCTCTCCCTCTCTCTTTCCCTTCCCCTCTAAAGATAAAGAAATTAAAAAAAAAAAAAAAAAAAGAATACACATGGCCAGACCACATAGAATCTACTTAATTCCTAAAGGTAAAGAGTAAAACAAAGACAAAAAAACAAACTGAACTACAGTTTACTACAGTCAGAAAACCACTGGGCTCTCCCCTCAGGTCCTGGCTTGGTGCTAATCTAAATTAATCTAGTAAATAAGCTAATCAAAGACATCTGAAGTTGATGCCTCATTTTAGTTAAAAGATTTTCATTGCTAAAGAAGACTCTAGATAAAACTTTAATATTAATCACCTTCTATGATATTGAACTCTAAAATGTCTACTAAATAAGCCTCACAGGAGCTAAAATTTGTTTGCAAAGGCCCAGGAAAGTCAGAAAGTACTCTTAAGAATTTGCAGTACCTGATACCATCTCTCTTGCAACTGGTTTTAACACTTACATTTCTTTGAGAAAATGTCTATAAATGATATGTCTACCAAAATTGAAAATTTATTACTTCAATATTATGTGCCTTTTGACAGTCTCCTCTTCTGACAAGAATCTGACAAATGAGGCTTCCGGTCAAGGCAACCACATGGGTAAATGTCATCCTGACACCCTCCCGTGACCACATCAAAATGACAACTCAACTATAAAACAACTGTCACGGAGAACTGATTGAAATCTAGCTCAACAGAAGTCCTACAACTAAAGATATACAGAAGCAGCCATGACCAGACCATTGAAAATAAAAAAGTATTAAAAATAAATAAATCAAAGTGATGGACTAGAGAAATGCAGATGGAACAATCCAGAAGAAAGGAAGAATGGAAGAAGCAAAGGAGAAGTGATGAGCCCAGGTGGCTGAGAAGGAAGAAGGAAACGGAATCCAGAGGGGAACTGGCCTTTGGTCCTCAGCTGGAGGACAGACCGAGGGTAAGAGCAGACTGGGCAGTTGCACAAACGTGCTGGTGAAAGGGGAATTCTGGTCGGGGAGCACCAGACCAGAGGAGGACGTGTGAAATACACATGCAGGAACGGGGAACGGAGGCTGCCTACCGACGTGACATCAGATGACCAGGCTCTGCTGTGGGAGATACAGCCTGAAACTGGAGCTGGACAGCAGGTCTCACAGGTCCCATGTGAGCAATAACTGCTGTCCCCAGTCAGCATTTTAGGCTACAGTTGGCAACAGGGACTTGTCCAAAGAACAATCACTGATGAATGTCTACACTAAAAAAAGTATCACCCTCAGGACAAATGATAAGTAACTGCGTATCACCAATATTTTAAGATCTTAATATTATATAAAAACTTCTTTTAGAAATCTTCCCTGGCATCCCTTCTTTCTCAAATTTTACCAAACAACAGACATCAAAATGTCCAGACTGCCATATTTCACATTTAGTATGACTAAATTGTGGGTTATTCCCCCCTCCTCCAAAATTCATGTTCAAGGTCAAACCCCCACTGTGACCATATCCGGAGACAAGGCCTTTGCAGAAGTAATGTTAAATGAGGCCTAAGGGTGAGACCCTGATCCAGCGAACTGGCCACCTCACAGGAGGAGACGCCAGAGCTCGCTCGCTCTCGGTGCACCTGCCCAGAGAAGAGGCCACAGAAGAACACGGTAAAGAGGCATATCTGGAAACAGTGAGAAGCCTCACCAGAAACCAACCCTGCTGGCACCGTGACCTTGGTCTTCTAGCCTCCAGAGGTATGAGAAAATGTCTGTTGTTAAAAGAGTATGATGAATAAAAATTGGAAAAGAGATATCCAAACTCTTATTAAGGACTTTCTTTTGATTGTTATTCACCACGGATTTATTTTCCAAAGGAAAAAACAGAAATCTTGTCTCCAATCCTTGGTGATGTTCCAATAGAATAAACAGTAATAACTCTTCTTGATCTCTTTTCTTCATAACCTTACTAAACAAATATTCTATCACAAAATTTTATTAGCAATGGAGAGCAATATTTTTTGTTTTTACAATATAAGAATCGGAAGAAACTTAAGCGAGTCTGGTCCTATTTACCATTAGGGTTATCAAACTCCAAGACAGAAAAAGCGTAGAATGGGGCAGACCTTTGGGTTACCAGAGACAAAGCTGTCTGTGATTAGCAAGGAAGGGATGGATTCCAATCTCCTAAAAAGAAACTGCCAAAGTCAGGGAGTTCGACCTCTTCATTAAAAAATAGAAGAATTAAGTCCCTAAGATGGGAACAAATTGACTGGGAGGTATGTTAGAGATCAAAAGCAGGTGGGGCAAACTGTAGAAGAGAGGATTCCCTTTACCCCCGGCTAAGTTCCAGGGTAGCAGAATGCGGTTCAAGTTAGGCACAGAGAGGTGAAGGGCAGCTAACAAGCTCCCTGCAGCCAGCAATGCTAAGAAAGGGGACAGGGAGGAGTTGCTATTTGAGGTTCCAGTTCTAGGCAGCATGAATGTCTCTTTCCAAAAATGTCTCATATACTTTAAATATTCTAGGACTAGGGTTAAACTACAGGACTTATCTTTTCATTCACTCATTCAAATACCTTTTACTGGACACTCAATATATGTTGGATTCTTGGCTAGACTCAGGACACATTAAAGAACAAAACAGTTCTCTCTGTCCGACAAATGACACCCCCACTAATTCCTACCCTCATCCGCCTCCATATCCCATCCCTCCAGCTCACTTCCCACACACCTCTTCTTCCTTCTCAGTTTAGTCACTGTGAAATGATTTTAGTCAGGGCCAACCGAATAACTTGCTTAGTCACTAAACATGTACTGAGCAGTACTCTCCAGGCACTAAACTAAGTATTGAGGATAAAAATGAGCAAGACAGCCTGAACACTCCCAAGGACCTCTCGTGTGGTGGATAGGCACACCAACTTACAGTACAGAATGACGAGTTGTCTACAGGATGCTTGCCCAGAGAGAGTGCCTAACTGGTAGGTGATGGCAATGACAGTCAAGCTGTAGCCTTCAGGGTGCACTCTTCATGGGCACACTTCCAGAAGACCCTCGCAAACCCCATTATCTTAGCACCAGACATGGTAAGTAGAGAAAAATAATACTTAGCTGAGACTACGCTCTGGATTTCTGGGCTTGAAGAACTCACCAGTTAAGTGACTTCTAGCCTCTAGCTTCAAAGAGAAAAAAATCAAATTTATGGATTTGTTAATCAAGGATTGGCGAACGTCTTACCAAAAGTAGTCTGAGGTCGGTCATCTCAATTATTAGCCAATGAATATCCATTACTATTTAAGCCTATCTGAGGTGAGTCTCCTAAAAAACATCCTATATTGTTTAAAGTAAGTACCATATATTCAAGTGCCCACGTAGGTCACAGGGGAAAAGGCTGGGTGCTACCACTTTCAGAAGCTGACTTTAGAACCGTACATCTTTGTCAAGAGCAATTCTGGCCAACGCTGACGTACAAATACTTTTAAATGACGAAGATAAAGATGATGATTAATCATGTCGATAGTAAAAATAGTTCTCACTCACTGAGAACTTCTACGTCCTAACAAGTGCTTTATATATATTTTCTCTTAAATATCCCTGCACCCTCTTACAGAAACCATTACTCCCATTTTTTGAGAGGCAAAATGTCCTTCCCGGTCAGGGAACTAGTCAAAAGCAAAGCCAGGAACTGAGCCAGGAACTGATCCAGGTCTTGTGATTCCAGAGTCTGTGCTCCTAACCCCAATGCCACACTGCTGCCTGGTCTGTGCTGCTGGTAAGTCAGAAATTCTCTGTGAAGCATTTAAGGCACGTCACACCACTGTGCTCTTGGCCTTGCCATAGTTCTGGTCTTCTGCAAATGCATGTGCATGCCCATAGAAACTGGAAAGCTAAAAACAGTATTTCCCAGATACTCCTACGATAGGGATACGACAGGGCTGTGGATGTGGTATAGATCCTACCAGTGGGAGACAGAGGCTGCTGTTTTACCCCAGGGCAGGACACGAGCTCTCACAGAGCTTCAGGATGGCAGCACCAGGTAGATTCCACATTCCTGCCTGGTTGCGGTGGCAGCAACAGTAGTACTCATGGCAGGACCAGTTTCCCAGTTTG